GGGCGCCTGGCAGTCGGACCCGGCCGGGCTGACGCCGCCCTCTCCTTCTCCGTCGCCCCCCCCCTCCGCCCCGGGAGCCTGGCATGGTCCAGCCTGTGCTGTGTCGCCCCCCCCGCTATCTCAGAGGACCCCATGAATGGCACTGTCCAGGATGAGCTTTCCCCCTGCCCCGAATAATAATGCCTGGGCAGAACCCCTCATGCATAGGACCCCACCCCCAACAAGCGAGCCTGGGGCTGCTCCTCTCTGAGGGGTGGCACTGCCCTGAGCCTGCCCTGCTGCTCACTCTTCAGGAGTCGGGAAGGGGGCAGCTTGGGGTGGGCTGGGCGCTCTGGGTGGCGGGCAAGCCCCTGCCGCTCTGGGGGTGGGGCTGTGTGCATGAAACATAATGTACTAATGTAAGGGGCAATCTGGGCTGCCCCTGGGAGAGAGGAGGGAATAGTGCAGTGCATCAGCTTGTGGAATGGGAGAGGTGGGAGCCCCATTGCTTAGCAGTAGGACATAAGGGGATGGTGCCTTGTCTACACGGGACTGAGCCCTGGAGAATAGGGCATAATCTTTCATTAGTCCCCAGTGCGATGGACTAGATGGGACCGAATAGGCTTCCTCTGTCATCTCCCCTGAAAGGAGAGTGCTGGAATCAGCCATGTGCAGGGTCTCCGGGAAAAATTACTCTTCTGCTCCCAACCAAATACTAACAGGCAGAGACCCTCAATCTGGTGACATCCGAGCGGATAAGAAGCCTATCACTGTCTGGGGTTTGTTGGCTTTTCTCAGCCCTCCTGTCCTTGTAATATCTGAGTAGCCATGCAAGCATTTTTGATGTTATCCTTGCAACATCCCGTACAGTAGGGTAATGGTTAACCTCATTTTGTAGACACTAGGGCTTTTAAATGACTTGCCCAGGGATCACACACCAAGTCTGGGATCTCAAGTTTCAGTCCTGTGCACCAACCACAGCTTTCTCTGGGAAGTGCACATCCATTTGGCTCTGTTCCTTTGATAAAAGGACAGGATTGAATAAGTGCTCCAACTACAATGTTATGTTCATATTCATTCCTATAGAGAATGGGATGGGAGGGGTCTCCTCTCGCATCTCTGGTCTTCATTGCTTTCATAGAATCCTAGAAGATGAGGGTTGGAAGAGACCTCGGGAGGTCATCTAGTCCAACCCCCTGCTTTCCCCAGTAACTCAAGCTCTTCCTGTGACCTTCCCCATGTAGCCCTTATAAGCTGTGAGAACCTAGGAAAATATTTCTATCATGTTATTAGTTCATCTTATCCAAAGCAAGATCAGAAAGCTCTGCTTTCTCAAGGCTGCTTGAAAGTGATTATAAGGCTGGAAACAAGCTTACGAGTTGACCTGGCTATTAAATTAATATTAATATTAATTTAATTTGAGAATCTCTAACTGACAAAAACAGAAACGCATGGCAGGGCAAATCCCTGTGCATCTGTCCTTGCTCGCTGACTTACAGTTCATTATAACTTTACAATTTTTAGGTTCAGTTTTGCATATGCCCATGGTGCAACTATTACAGATTGTTAAGCAGACTACACGTCCCGTTGTGGGTCTCATTCAGAGAGATGCTGAGTATCTGTGGCTCTGAACACTGAGTTTATTCATAGTATTTAACAGAACCAGCTAAATTTTGACTGTCACAACACAATGATCTGATTTTCTTTAGGGTTTTTAGCGGCAGTAGAACTTAAATAATCCACTACAGAAATTGGTGGAGATGCCATCCAATGGGTTTGGCAGTGTTTGATAAGCCAGATGTTGTAAGAGGTGGTGGTAGCCACACTTCTGGAGAATCCCAGCGGGCCGTGCACTTCTGCTTCAGTTGGTCAGTACTGCTAGGATAATGGCGGGAACACCTGCATGTGGCTTGCTGCGAGAGAGCTCTAGAAAAGTAAATCAGAGAGTTTCTAGGCTCCCTTTGCTGGAGCACAGTGTGAGGCTTGTTTAACAAGATGCGGTACAGGCAGCAGGCTTTATGGTTTTTGATGCTGAGTGGAAAAAAAGAAAACGCTTTTTCACAAAGCAACAAAAATGTTGCTTGTTCTCTTTTTATAACGTTGGTTTTCTAAGAGTGTTGGAGGACAGCAGAACGTTATTGTGATGTTTAGGATGCAGCAAGGAGTCTGTGGAAGCTACAGCTCAGCTGTTGACTTAAAACAAAACAATGAGGGCATAATTTTTTCCTTCTCCAAAAAAAGCACACTGGCTGAACGAAAGCCGTAGGAGATCTTGTCTCCTTTGGCTAGCACCAGGCAGATACGGGGCAAAGAATAATGTTGTCAATGTTTTCATTTGAAAAACTGTTTACTTACATAGTGTTCCAAGTGTGCCACATGACTAGCTATAGACAGGTCCCTGCCCTGAAGTCCTGACTGTTAATATGCAAGAGGGAATAGGGGTAGATGGGCAGCACACGGCAGCTTTTTAAAAACATTGTCAAAAGAAAGTTCGACCTAAGCCTGACTTCATCCATTCTTCTGTGAACTATTCCCAAATGCATGGTTATGGCACACTGTCACCATAAGGATTACACTGAAATCCTGAGGGCAGGGCAGTGAGTGATGTAGCGGGGTGGGCATGTGTCTTGAGAACTCGCATTCCTCTGAATGGGAACACTGTTCCTTTGCTTCCAGGCATGTTTTGGGATGGATACCTCCCAAATAGAACTTCTCCTTTGCTCACCCTCTGTTTCTACACTAGCAGTTTTCCTACATTTCCCACCGTTGTAGCTGGTGTACACAAATGCTGGTTGACGTGGTGGTTAAAGCTTTGGAGACTCTGCTACCATTGATGGAAGAACTGCTGGTGTAGACAAAAGCCATTTTGCAATTGGGTTGGCTGAGAACTGTGCTTTCTTATGAAATGAACTTGACAGAGTTCATTAAGGGCCTTGTCCAGGTCAGTAAAGGCCCCCAGAATGCATGGGGAGAAATGGCATGATGTGAACTTCAAGGAAAGAGAGGACTCACTTAGCATGCACAGGGATGTAACTAGAAGTCATGGGATGGAAGTTTGGGCTGAAGATCAGAAACATTTTCCTGGCAGTCAGATGGATTAAATTGTGGAGGGATCTCCCAAGGGGAATTTTGGAAGCCTCATAAAATCACACTTGACATTGGCAAGCAGGAAGTGTTCATTCATGAGCACAAGGGTCTAATTCATCAACTTCTGCAGAGTCTGATCTTTCTTCTTCTGCCCCCTCCCCCCTGGTTTTAGCCATTATGATTGCAAAGAACAGATTTGAAAATTGAATCACATGTAAACTGATGCAGTACTGTCTTCCTGAATCTGCAGACAGTCTAGCCCGGACAGCTGCATGCAGTTTTACCAAGCAGCACTCGAGGACTTTGCTCAGTTTTGCTGTGAGCGGCAGTGAAACTGGTGAAAATCCCATTATCTTCACGTGGCAGGCCCTGGAATTACTCAGAATGGAGTACCTGTTCCCAGAAAGTGGTTGGGAAGGGTGAATAGCAGTGACCTCATCTTTCTCTCCTCCCTCTATTAGCAGCAGCCAGGAAGCTCTGAGGGAATGAGAAGAATCCAAAAACTCCTTGTAGGGAGTGGGGTTCAAATAATCGGAGACCCAACTACATAATGGTGTTACAAAAGGTGGTGCCCCTAAGCAGGGTCTAGAGGCAACATACTAGTAGGAATTGCAGCAGTTTGGGGAGGTGAGGCCTGGATTTCTCTCACACCCCACTCCATCTTTCTGATCTCTCTATCTAGTTGGTGTTTGGTCAGTTTTTCAAGTCTTGCCCCATCACTTGTGGCTCTGAAAAGCTAGACTGGGCAAAACTCTAGAATCCTCCAGTGTCTAGAGGGTGAGCCCTCTATTTGTAGGGAGATGGGCTAGATGATCTAATAGCTGGATTCCCTTATCTGGCTCTGTACAGTGCATCTCGCTGTCTGCTATTCCCGCCCTGGAGACAAAGGGGGAGTGCAGGGTGGAGTCTGTTCACTCTTAGGCATTCACCCTCCGCCTCCGTGGACGCTGACTGAAGCTATAATGACAATCCTGAAGTGTTGGTGTTAGGGGTGCTGGTTAGAACAATATTACAATGAAGTGTTTGCTCATTGGTGGAAAATTTCTTCCTCTGCCCAAAGATAAAATCATAAGTAACTTCACAAGGAATGTGGGAAATGGTTTTATCCAGTGAGCAGATTAAAAAGCCGAGACAAGAAGTCTACCCGCAGGCCAGAAACAGTTCAATCTTTCCCAATGTGGTGAAAAAGGAAATTGGAGAGGTCACTCTGGGAATGGAAAGATCTTATCAGCTTGAGGAAGAATCAAATATAAACATCATCCCACATGTGATGAAGGTTTAAAGCATGGTGCTGTGGTGCATGCCCATTGCCCTTGGAAACAGTGCCAGTTAAGGTGATGGTGGCTAGTCAGAAGACACCCCCTCACCCCCAGACCCATTGATATTTTAAAGACCCTCTGCAGTAGCTTTTCCCTAAGTCAGCCCAGTACATAGCCCATCTGTGTGGAATTAGAAGAAAGTTATAACTTTAGTTCAAAGACTGACTTAGCAAACTAATTGCCCCTTTAAATGAGAATAGGCAGGAAGTGAACAGGGAGGCAGGAGGATTTCTAGTGGAGGTTGAGAGCTGAGGAAGAACAATAAGAACTAGATACTTTCTATCTTAGCACTGGGTATTCTAGCCA